TTACTTGCTTCTCATGGAATTTCACAATGGAAAGCATTTGAAGAGCATCCATCAGATTGGCTTTTAAGGTGATGAATCTTTTGAATCATAAATTTTATTCAGGTTTCGTCCTTTGAATAGCAGCTTCCTTTTTAACTCTGAGCTTTATGCTGACTCTGCAAAGGATACACCGAGGAATTGCTTAATTGGATAGGTTTCAGAGATAATTAATCCTCCACAATCATGATTTTCAACACAGTCGAAGTCGTTACAAAGCAATTTTCCATCAATATTTAAGAATAGTCTATTAGCTTTGCTTTTCTTTTGCTGCCAGATCGATGGTGACTTAATGAACTTCTGCATTTATATGAGCATGTGAATAATCATTTCAAAGGCGGTGACCAGATGCAGATTAGATGGTACGGTCCATCGCCTTTTATCATCTTTTGCCAGCTGTTGACTTGTTCATCTATGCGAGTTGAGTTAGCACTTTTTTAATAACGGGATTCTCGCAATAGCTGATTTTTGACCGTTGATTAGCTGTGCGACTTTAAAAAAATTCATCTGCTTAAAACTGATCATTAAATAAATATTTCATATGCAAAATGTTGTTTTAACCCCGTCAGACAGCACTAAGATCGATATTCTACAGTTTCCCTGGTGATACCATATGAGAAACGCCATAGATGGATACTCTGCGTCAATTGACACGTAGAATCATAGACTGGCGATCAGATGTTTTGAGCATATTGGGCCATAGCGTTAAAGTGCCTTTGAAATCAAGGCCACCGGTGCTGACGTCTGAGATACTTGTTGTAATTGATGTTCCCATGAAACGGCCAATCCCAGAATTTCTAGTGATAATAGCCATGTGCGTGGAAGCATTCGAGAGAGAGAGAGAGAAGAAGGGAAGTAGAGAGTGATGGTCAGGTTATTAGAATTATTAGAGCAGATTATTAGAGGAAGCATCAAGACTGTCAATTGATTCATGTTTAGAGTTTAACGCCCTACTATCCCTCATTTGTGAATACCAGTCTGATGGACATGAACTTCACTGCCCTCCTCAATAAAACGTGCAAGTGCATACATCTATACACACGTAGGGCCCTGTTTATTTTCAGCTCTAGTCAATTAGGCATAGTTGAAAAAGAGTTGTTGAGAACCATCAAGGAGCTGATAATACTTGTACTACGGACATGAACATGATCCTTTTGTGAAAAATGACAACAAACGTCAGCACATCCTTCGGAAGCTGAGTGGGGACCTCGGAAGTGATACTCCACATTTTCGAATTTTCTTCACCTATCCTATCTCGCGCCAATGTTAATGATTTTGGCATGTCCATCATCTGGCTTCTCCTCAAGACAAAAAGAAAGAGGCAGGAGTAGAGGGAGGGCCAAGAGAGTGGAAGAAAAATGAATTATGGATGCGGAAATGCTGACAGAGAGATGGAGGCACGCAGAAAAACAGAGAAAAGATGGAGAAGAACGTAAGAAAGAAGACCAAGAGAATCAAAGACAGAGAGAGCGAGGTTGAGAAAAGACAGGAAAGATACATTCAGAGAATTACGCAGACCTTTGGGCTCTTGAGCTTTCACTATGCCATGGTTTATCCTGAGTACATAGAAAGGTGCTCAGCTGAAATCTCGATAAGGGCGATAACGATATTTATCTGGCTGCGTCCATGAGCTATCATTAACTGATATCAAACGTAAAGAGTCCAAAATAATTTGCGAAATCAAATTTTTGATATTTTACATGTACCTGGCTATCGTTTCGATTTGAATATGCAGCAGTAATAGCCAGGATATTTCGTCTAGCTCTTATGTAAGCTCCGTCTTTATGTATGCTGGCCTAGTGGCCTTCTACGGTCTTCTTAAAGCCTACCTTCGAATGTTGCGACTAACGTTGATACATGCCGGAAATACCAGCGGTATTCAGATTCATAGCTGCAAAGGCCGAACAGTCTGTTTGGGTTATTCAGTCCTGAATGAGGATAAACACTCGTTACTCACTCGCCCGCTGCCTCTCCTCAGGACATGAATCACTTGAAACGAGTTCGCACGTATCCACGCAACAGCTAGCGGCGAGACACAAACGCTCAGTGATTCCGTTCCTCTCCGCACCCATTGCAACGTCGAAGATCAACGTGCACAACCTGTGAGAACTTTTCACGCTGATACTGTATATATCTCCTTTCGGTCCTCTTTGTTGCTTTTGTTTTAGTTCAAACATAAACCAATATAATCCTATGGCTGATTGGTGAGGTAATCATCCGTCGAATAACAGGTAAATGAATCTGGTTAATTGATCATCATCTCGTAGGTTCACCGACACACCGTCAGACAGAAACTATCGAATTCCGGACAATAACTGGTCCTCTGACAAATACAAATACTACAAGACCACCATAACTGGGAACGAACAAACAGTCTTCGTATACATGAGTACTTCTGGAAAAAACGCTTCTGCTAAGGAGTCATTATTGAGTGCTATACGAGTGCGGAAAAGATACGCCCCAAATTAAAGATGCTCTGTTCACCACTGGTTGGGAATCATTGCCTACTGTACAGCAGTGTTTCTTCCCATAAGCTTCACGCTTCTTCGTGCTTCATAGAGTCTTCGAACCTTTTGATCAGATCACATCAAAGCATATCAAAGTTTTGCCTACGTCAGGACCTTTGTGACTGTAGCTTACCGGCATTCTCAAACCTCAAGGCCACAACGCCGCTAAAAGCACGAGGTGGCGCCAAGTGCCATGGAAACAACTGTGACAGTGTGCTCTGAAGGAAATCCTAATTATGACTCTCAGATTTCCATAAAAACTTTGAATGTAGCAATGCAAAATGTTTCGTATAAACGAACAAAACGTCATAAGCACTTGGACATTTTTATACGGATCAAATCGCTGTTGTCATATATCAGGCACACTAAGCTAATGAAATCTGCTTCCTAGGCACCCTTCCTCTGTCGCTTAGAATTGATTTAAAAACATCTCTGCAGCTACAGAGGCATACCATCGACAAAATCTATCACTTCTCATTGGACATTTTAAGCATCCAGGAGAAAAAGCAGAAAATAAGGCAAGGTTGTACAGCTTAACTTTAGGCTTCCTTGCTCCTTCATGATTGAACCGAAATGACGCCCCTTCTTTTGATGAAGTTTATGATGAGGCGTTGAACTCCACAACTCCAGGCATTCTTTACTAACAGAGTCAACAACATGTGACTATGTGACTAGCATAATGTTTAGGCTCCTCTCATCATCGTACAGAAAGGTATTTACAAGCCTCAGAAGGAAGAAAACAGAGTGAGCTCAGCACAGCTCCCACCCAAGAGCTCTGGGTTCGCGTGGCCTAGATCATTAGGTTGTTCTTTGTTCTTCGTAATCGTTATCTGAAGAGCGGCAGTTTAAATGTTCCGTCTTTCCAAAATTAAAGATGTCCAACTTGTAGGAAAGATGAACTCCATTCAGCATGTAGCAACCATGTAATACTATTATCCTTGGCACTTCCGCCACTTGCTACACCTAATTTATGATGGGGCGATTTTTGGCTGAGGTCCGCTACCATTGTTCAAGAAAATGAACGTGATTGATTTTGGAAATGTATGGTTCCGCTTATGCGAAACCGCAATCACATTGGACGAAATATTTTTCTGTTTTGTTCTTGCGAACCGCAAACCATTCAGCGACACAGTGCTTCGAATTCGCTACTAAGCTACCCTTTGCTCAGCTCTCGATTGGAAACGGGCGGATCTAAGCACCTGGTCAATCAGGCCTATTGCGAATGCGATTTGGAGTAATTAGGCACGATTCTTGTGCTGTTCGTTCACCGACGACGGTTTGCCAGATCACTACTTACAGACAATCGCGGTGACATATGTGAATAAATATAATCTGCAGGTAAACAGGTATGAATCAGTTATTGCTGTTCACGGGATGACAAAAATTAACAGCTATGGAAGCGGCATTGTCATGCATGCAGTAAACACCGGCTTACTGGCGAGCACTACTCAAGGACGATCAGTCGTTTTGCCAGTGTATAGGTTTCACTTCCCGTGCCACGGCAGTGCCGATCAGCGTTTTACGCCGAAGCCTAGAGTTGTTCTGCCCCCCCTCCCCACCCGTGTTTCAGTCGCAGTCGGTGGACATGGCCGAAGAAACGGCGAGTCTGTTGCTGAATCAAACGCTGGCGGTTTGCCGAAACATCAAGGACGATCCGACCTTCCTGACATTAACCGCTTTGCTTCCCGTCGCCGCTGTCTGTGTCATATGCATAACGACGTTCTTCGCGATTATTCTGAAGAGCGATACAACGTACTGCTATGAAATACGAGCTCTGCTGATGGTCGAATCCGTGTGCTCGATCGTCGCCTGCTTCATGGTCGCTGTCAGGCAGGCATACGCGACGTGGATCTATTTCGATGAAGAGATAATGTTCCTGTCCGCGATTCCTTGCATGATCCTCGGCGGCATGGTCTTCACCGGTCTGATATGCGAATCGTCCAGTGGCCTAATGCTCGCCTTGGCGCTGTTCTACCGAAACAAGGCCACCATATTCTATAACTGTATCACTCCTTCGCTGTGGTGCACGGGCAATGTCGCGCTTTCTGGGATCGCTGGCATCATTCACAGCTGGGTGACGTACGTACAGACCACTGAAGACCGCACCCGCTTTTGCAACTGCCCGCCCGTGCTTTCGTTCTACGCCTATACCAGTGCTTCTTCGTTTATTCTTCTTTTCACTAACTGTGTCACTCTCGTACTCATGCTGTACACGGTCTACGAATACAAGCAACTTTTTTCCAATCGCCGATCGTCCGATATGACAAGTGGTTACTCGCAGTGGGTGATCGAGATGCGTAGTGACCGGTACCTGCTGTGGACGGTGTGGCCGGCAGTGTGCATCAATTTGATTATCTTCTTTCTAACCGGAGTGGTTGCGATACCCTCAGCGAGGGCATCTTACGTTAGCATAAGCATCACGATGGCCAATCAACTTTTAACTATTAACCTTATTACCATATCTACTCACTGTGTGCAGCCGGTCATACTCATGTGTACGAACAAATTTTTTGCACGAAAGATAACAGTCTACTTCCGCAAATGCAGCCTCGTTCTATGTCGCTGTTTCGCAGCTCCCTCCGGAAGCAGTCGCGAAGAAGTTCATGTTAATATGTCCGTCGTGAATCGCGTCAGTACGATTTCAGTTGCTTCCAACGAATGAATGCCAGTCGCCCTAAAACAGATTGTACACAATACTACGCGAAACCAACTATGTGATGCCATCCAAGTTTGTAGTGTCGTGCAGTGACTGCACTGTAACGCTGACTTTCAGTATACAGCGTTTTAGATGTGTCGGTTTATGCACATTTTGAAATAGGGTAGGGGTGAGTCAACTCAAGCCAAGCCTGCTGTACTCCTTTTCAGCGGTTCCATGCGCTGTTCAGGAAGAAATAGCGTACAACATGCGAAGCGACGTTCAAATGCAGGAGAACGGTTAACTCTAAAACCGAGTCTGGTTCGCAGCTCTTCTTCGACGTTGGTCAGTGAGAGGTAGATAAACCTACGGCCAAACAGTCAGAGAGAAGGAAACGAATAAAACGACAGAGTGAGTAGGTGACTTGCTCCTGGCCGTGATTCTGATTTTGTGCGTGAGTCTTGGACATGTACTTGGTACTGCGTTTGATCGTGACTCGTGATGCAAGTATTATCATGTCATTGTGAGAATGTCCTCGTAATAAGTCAGTGCAGTAGTTTCAGCCGAACTTGTAAAGCACGCAGGGCATGGGACCTGAACTGGTCGTAATTCTTCCACTTTTGAATTCGTGTTTGGGTAACCACCTCTATTAAGTGTGCTATTACACAACATTAGCCATTTATACCAATGAAATGGAAATGGTGGTCGATGTCACTGTCTGTTTTTAAAATGGGATATCGGGATGCACAATTCCACGTCGCATATTGAGACCATGATCAGTCGTCGTGTTCACTGCTCAATGCCAGACAAAAGCCTTGCAGTACCAAGTTCATCAAGCATTATTCTGATGAAGCGGCCAAAGTACCGTAGTCTTTGTAAATACCTTCATGCCTCCGAAGAACGAGGATCGACTGCCTAGCCGTTCGCGATCCATTCTTTAGTGTTGACGACTCTCGAAGGCAATGCCTAACAGTCGTCGGTGCAAAGGTTTGAAAATTAAACCGATTTGCCATTTGCTCCTTTCAAGACTCAACATTTAAAAGCGAACATCGCTACAAACCAGAGGTTCGTTACCTCAGCTTTGTGAAATTTTACCATGCTCTCCACTACTGAGATTGAGAATCTCATCCTTTCATCGTCAGTCGAACGCTTCTCGATATGACTGCGCAAAAAACACCTGATGACGTCTCTTAAACATTCTCCATTTCTGTCTCTTTACTTTCGCAGCACTGCAAGTTATTCATTAATCAGGTCTTTCCAGCTTGTTCTTGGACGACTGTCCCGATGATGTTGCTTCAGAGGAGCCCAGTTTATAATTCCAGACGTCCACCGATCAATCCTCAGGCAAGCTGCATGACCGGCCCATCTTCTCTTGAATTCGTAAAAGGCAGAAATCACGTCGTCTATTGCACTAGTCTGTTATCGAATTTGTGAGCTCAGAAAGTGATCCGCGTCAGAGGGGGGGAGCACTGTGCACATTTTCGCCCCATAGCTCCTTGGGTGACCGTAAGATATTCGCTTCGGCGGGAGTAGCAGACCAACATTCGCGCCGCACATCATAGGGGTATAACGGTCGAATCGAACAGCTCACTTTTGGTCCGTATCGGCAGCTCATTGTCGATTAAATCCGGTCCGTGTCGCATTTTTTCTTCCGCTGAATTTCCTATGCATTGCTAGGGCACTGCCGCCGCATGTAGGGAATCATTGCCTATGATGCTTCGGAATTTTATCCTACAAGTTCCAATGCTTGTTTGCGATTTCGTAAACGTTTCCAATCGTTTCGTCAGACCTCGTATACAGAAATTTGCATCAGGACTCCTTCTGACCGTGGTCTACCAACATACTCCAAGTTTTCTAGTCACAAGACTTGTAGAAACCCGAGAGGGTACGAAATGTTGCGAAAAACAGGAAAATCATACGCTTTGAAATATACGCGGATTCTGATTACCGGATTTCCATAACAGCTTTGAATACAGCAAAGAAAATGTTCCAAATAAACGCACTAAAACATACGCACGTACAGAATTCAACCGTTACTCGTCTGAATCCTGAAAAGAAAGTATGAGGGGTTTCGACCGTATCATAGAAGTTAGCCACCTGCCCTCCCTCGCGTTGTTGCTGCAATCGAAGTTTATACGGGCGCGGCGTGGCTCGGATTTCCAAGGCTGTCAGAGAAATGAAGCAGATGCAATAAACCGGCCGTGATCAGGGCATGACACGCGCCATGTGGTAACCAGAAACTCAGGAGAACGGCGACGGCTGACGAAGATATCACGAAAGCAGCAGAGTCGCTGCCCATTCTATAAAGATGCCATCAGACAGAGCGATGGCATAATGGCACGTCAGTAGAGGTTCCACAGGAACTGACACCGCAACTGGGAGCCTTGGGGTTGCGTTTTTCTGGTGATGGCAAATGGCAGGGAGCGATGAACCAGCGAACTGGAATAGCCACGGCGTTCTACACTAATTTATCAGAAATGTTATTACAACGACAGAGGTGAGTCTGAAGATTGAGCTGTCTGTATTGAAGCCTGTTTTCATACCCATATACACCTACGGGCAGGAGTTGAGGGCCATGGCAGAAATATTTCGACCCCAGGTACACGCAGCTGAAATCGGCCCCATGGGACCAATCGCTGCGCTCACACGTCTCGACATGGACTAGAAGTGTACACTCGAAAGTATCTTCATGTATAGCCGCTGTTTCTCCCGATCGAGAACTTGTGACGGCAATGAATTGGCAACGTTCTTGCGAACGTTTTCAGAAAAGAAGACGAAATGGCTACTATTCGCTCAGTCGACAAGCCGAAGACCCCGGGGACGACCAAGAATAATCTGGGATAAGTGCATGGAAGGATTGTGCTCCCTACTCGGGTTATTTTCTGCCGAACCTCAATCGCTCGCACAGGATCAGGAAGGAAGATTGGAAACATTGTCTAATGAGCATGCTTCTGCCAGCGGAATGGTCGATACTGATTGACAGTATACTAGAAGGTGACAGTTTCTAAGCGGCAGTTCGCTGTTCGCTGACATCAGCGAT